CCCCAAAACCCCAAAACCCCAAAACCCCAAAACCCCAAAACCCCTTATTTTTCTCATCTAACTGAAAACAAGATTCATATTAATTTTATTAAATAAAAATTACTGAATGTGTACAGTAAAAACAGAAAGGAGACCTGGTGGTTAGTAAGTCCTGTGCCTCCTTTTGTGTTTATAGTACTCAATAAGCTCGAGGGTGCTAGTCCTGAGGACTCTCTCACCTTCCATATGCAAAGCCAGTGCCTCGTTTAAGTCATGCGTAACTTTCTCTCTAGCTCTGTAGAGGACCTCGCTGTCAGTATCGTAGTCATCATCTTGGTCGGCGTCAACCAATTTAGATAAAAATTCTTGTGCTTGGTAAATCTCATTACGATCAAATAACCTATAAGCTTTAAAGTTCCGTCGGTTGGGATCTTTTAACTGAAGCCATTCCATTTTAACCCTTTTTCTCCCTCTATGATTCTTCTTAGCAGGAATGAAACTCTTAGTTCGATCAGAAGCCCCATGTTTGGTAAAAATAGACAGATTTCTGATATCCTGCAGCTGGTTCCTCCTTTCCCTATTTTTCAACTGCCGAATCTTGTCCTCCAAAGGATGGACTTCAGATAAGCAGTCCTGTATGAGTTCCTCTTGATTGAATATTTCAGAGCTCGCTTTCTTTCGAAGCTGTGAAGACCTATTTTTGATCTGATTACACTGATAATTGGGATTCCTAACAGCTAGGATTTTCGATTCCTCTATTTGAGATAGCCTCTGATTTGTGGTGGAACCGGAGAAATTGTTGCTTATTTGAGCATGAGCAAGTTTAGACTCCTCCAGAGGTCTGGAGCCATTCCTCCTTGACTTTCCAAAATCGAAGATAGATTTATAAGCATGCCTAGCTTTAGACTTATTGTGGGTTACGGATTGCGAAGGAGTGACTGGGTTTTCTTCACTGATCTTCTCCAGAACCTTCATCACTGAACGATTCGGTTGCTCATTCCAGTATGCGATTCTTTGTTGAGATCTTTGACAAATCTTACGTTCTTCAAACCTCTCATTTCCTCGGTCAAAGGACCGATTATAATGAGTTCGACTGGAAGAGCCTATGCTAACCTTTTTAGTAGCCACAGTAGAGATTATTGAAGAATATCGAATATTTGGCGGTCTTTTCTTATTGTCTGGCGTATATTCCAGCTCAATAGTTTTAGACTCCTCTCGGTGAAAATAAGTGTCTTTCCTGAGCTTGGAAGAACAGGCTCTTACTTTGGCCAAAGCTTTATGGCTAATAGGCCTCAGACCGCCAGATTTTCTCCCAGTTTGAAGCTTATGCTGGTTCAGATTTTCTACAACTAAGATTATTATCTTAATTTCAAATGGAAATACCTTGTTTGCTGTCATATAATCTTGGTCCGTTATTAGCCAGATTTTTAGGGTCAAAAGGATTACCAATTCAATCTAAACGACCCTCCTGATGCTCTATTCATACTTTATTCATGTTTAAGAGGGAAATTTATGACGATTTGTAAAATTCAATTTTAAATAAAAAAATGGGGTTTTGGGGTTTTGGGGTTTTGGGGTTTTGGGGTTTTGGGGTTTTGGGGTTTTGGGG